CAGGGAGACCCTGTCTCAGAAAAAAACAACAAAAATGAATAAATGAGTGAATAAATAAACAACTGACCATGGAACACAGCTCTGGGCACATCTATGAGGATGTTCCTAGGCTGACTCGCCCTAATGCAGGCAGCATCACTCCATGGGTTGCAGTCCTGGACTGAAAAAAGAGAATGTGAGCTGAGCACCAACATTCACTTCTCTGCTGCCTGACTGCTGTTACGATGTGACCAGCTGCCATGTCTTCCCTGCCATGATGGACTGTACCTTCAAACTTGGGAGTCAAAACAAACCTTTCCTTCCTTAAGTTGCTTTCCTCAAGTATTTTGTCACAGTAACCAAAAATAAATAAAAATAATTAAATAAAATGGGCAATATGAATTGAACAGATGTTTCTCCAAAGATGTGCAAATGGTCAGAAGTATATGAAAATATTTTCAACATGTAAAGTAAAACCATTAGATATCACCTCACATCAATTACAATGGCTACTGAAAGTAAGGTTTGGGGACTGGAGAAATGGCTCAGTGGTTAAGAGCACTGGCTGCTCTTGAAGAGGATCTGGGTTCTGTTCCCAGCACCCATATGACAGCTAACAATCATCCGTAACTTCCGTTCCAGGGGATCCAACACTCTTTTCTGACATCTGTGGGCGGTGCACTCAATACACATAAAAAATGCTAAATAAAACTGGGCATGGTGGCACACGCCTGTAGTCCCAGCACCCAGGAGGCAGAGGCAGGTGGATCTCTGTGAGTTCAAGGCCAGCCTGGTCTACATAGTGACAGCTGGGGCTACAGGGAGATCCTGATTCAAAAAGACAAAAAAAAAAAAAAGCTAAATAAAATAGTTAAAAAAATTTTTTTCAAAAGAAAGTAGGTTCTTAAATACAATCATGTTAATATACCCATGTTCACAGGAGGGCTATACACCATAGCCAAGAGGTGGAAGAACCAAACATTCATCAACAGATGAATAAGCAAAATATGGTATATACAATGAAGATGTTTCAACCTTACAAAGGAAGGACATTCTGTGGTATGCTACAGTGTGAGTAATCTTGAGGATAATTATGAAAAAAGACAGTCACAGAAAGACCTATCATATGATTCCATTAACAAATTCAATTCACATTAAAAAAAAGCAGATAAAGTTGAATGGTGATCACAGAGGGCTGGGGAAGAAAGGGGGAGTTTGTTTAATAAGTAGTTTCAGCATTGCAAAATGAACAGGCTTTAGAGATCTGTTTCAAATCAATATAAACACTGTAGTTAAACTACTGAACAGACATTTCTCCAGATATACCAATGGTCAATTAACACATAAAATATTAACTTTGGGGCTGGAGAGAAGGCTCAGGGGTTAAAAGTGCTAGCTGCTCTTGCAGAGCACCTGGGTTCAAATCCTAGCAGTCACACAGTAGCTAAAAACAGTAACTCAGGGGAATCTAACACCCTATTTAGACCTCCATAGACATTGCACAAGACGGGTACACTTACATACATACATTGCAATAAACTCACACACAAAAATTAAAATAAATAAAATATATTGTTTAACATGATTAATCATGAAAATGCAAACCAAATCACAATGAGATACTTTCTCATACAACTAAGCTGTAACTAATAAAAACAGTATCTGCTGCAAAGGATATGAAAAACCTGGAACCCTCATATATTGCTGGTGGTGATACAAAATGATCTGCTTTAGAAAACAATTTAGTGCTCACTTTTGTAAATACAGAGCTCCCATATGACCTATCAATTTCTCTCCTAAGTCACCAGAGAACTTTAAACATTAAGTAGATACTTGTATGCATATGTTTGTGGCAGCATTGTTCATAACAACCACACAGTGCACGCAACCCAAACCCATGCAAACTGATGAGTAGAAACTGTGGTATATCCATAAAATGAACATTATTCAGTCATAAAAATTAAATGCACATACCTGTGCAACACAGTATTTTGAAAATATATATGTATAAATATATACAGGGCTGAAGAGATGGTTCAGTGGTTAAGAACACTGGCTGCTCTTGCAGAGGACCAGAATCCAGTACCCAGCACCCAAACAGCAGCTAACAACCATCCATAGCTCCAGTTCCAGGGGATCTAATACCCTCTTCTGGCCTCCCTGGGCACTGCACAACACAGATGCACTAACATACATGAAGGCAATATATTCATACACATTAAAAATAACCAAAATATTAAAAAATAAATATATACAGAGCTGGAAAGATGGCTCAGCAGTCAAGAGCGCTGACTACTCTTGCAGAGGACCTGAGTTCAAATCCCAGCACCCACACAGCGGCTATGAACTGTCCTTAACTCCAGTTCCAGGGGAATCCAAAGCCCTCTTCTGACCTCCAAGGCATTGCACAACACAGATGCACTCACATACATGCAGGCAATACACTCATACACATAAAATAAAAATTTTTTAAATGTTTTAAAAAGCAGTGTCTTGAGCCGGGCGTGGTGGCGCACATCTTTAATCCCAGCACTCGGGAGGCAGAGGCGGGTGGATCTCTGTGAGTTCGAGGCCAGCCTGGTCTACATAGTGAGTTCCAGGACAGCTGGGGCTACAGGGAGACCCTGTCTCAAAAAGACCAGCAGCCTCTTATAAAAATAAATATACATAACAGTTACGGAATGTAATGGAAAAATATGTATGTATAAGTATATAAAGCAAGGCACAAAAGTTCACGTACTGTGTAATTTCACTTAAATAAATGTCCAGAACAGGCCAATTCTCGAAGAGAAGAATGGGAAGCATAGTTTAAGTAGATCCACCCATCTCTGTCTCCCAAGTGCTGGGATTAATGGTATGTGCCACTACACCCGGCACTCAAATCCTAATTCTTGAAACTTGTAACTTCACCTGATTTGGAAAAAGGATCTATGTAGACATGATTAAGTGTCTTGCGGTAGTGAAATTAACCTTGACTATAGAGGTCCCTAAATACCATTTTAAGTTTCCTTATGGGAAGAAAGCAGAGGAGCTAGGAATACTGCATACATCTGTTATTCCAGCATTTAGATGGCTGAGGCATGAGGATCACAAATATGAGGTCAGCCTGGGCTAAAGAGCAAGACTTGTCTCTAATAACATAGAAAAGGGAAGGAAGGAAGAGCTGAGAAAGCAGCAGCAGAAGAGGTCACATGTTCACTTTGAGAAAGTGACCAGGAAGTGAAGGCTGAGATGGCAACCACATGACTTCAAGCTGAAGACCATCACACACACAAAATGGAGGAGGCAAGGAAAGGGTTCCCCCTAGAGTCTCTGGGATGACCATGGTCCCTTTCAATACCCATCTTGATTTCGGTCCAATGAAACCGATTTTGGACTTCTCACATCCAGGACCAATTCAACTTTGTGGTAATTTGTTGCAACAGCCACAAGAAAGTAACATAAGGAATGGCAGCTAAAATGGTCCTTAGGGTTGAGGAAATATTTGAGAATTAGGTATTCTTGACAGTTGTATATACTAAATATACTGTATATAGCATATACTACATACAGTATTTAATATACTTAGTACATATGGTACACTTACATACATATAAGCTAAATATATATTGTAAATATGCTAAAAACATTCAATTCACACTCTATAGGGTGAATTTTATTGAACACAAATTCTATCTCAATTACACCAAAAAACTGCCTAGTATCTCAATTACACCAAAAAACTGCCTAGTAACAGGCTTCTATTACCTCCAACAACAGAAGCTAAGCTTTCAAACCTCTACACAGATAGCACTTAGGGTTATGGTAATGATGTAAGTCAATCTGTCCAACAAAAGAGACTTACGCATTATGTAATAAATTTATAAATTTGTACTGTAAGTCATCCTGTCCCAGGATTAAATTTATACTTATAAAATGAACACATCTCTGTATCAAGGACCCAGAATAAATCAAATTAATTACAAATAGGGTTGCCAGATATCCTAGTTTGACCACAGCACCTCAGTTTAATCTACTGTCTTCATAGACTTACTAATACCACTACTTTCATTTTAAAGTATTCCAGTGTAAGTGGAACATTACATAGCCAACCTAGCTTAAGGATTCTGGAGATGGTGAAAATCTTGGGAGCATATTCCATGGACAGCAGCCAGGCCTTGTCATGAACTGCCATGTACCTAGCTCTCTGCTACTCAGATGCCCCCAAAGGGAAAATCTTGGCATGACTTCTTCAGAGTCTGTGTTTTTGTTTCCAACTTATGTAATACTTACCAAGCATTAAGAAGCCCAAAGTTAAAAGTGACCCCTTTTTTCTCCACTATTATTTTTTGATATATGAAACTGACCTAAGGTGACATTTGCCTTAGCATCCCTAGGGTGGAAAGACAAAAGCCATCGCCAGCAGCCAGCCTTGTACTCCACTATAATCCTAGCATTAAGCAGAATGCAGAAGGATCAGGAATTCAAGGTCATTCTCAGCTATACAGCAAGTAGGAGGCCAGCCTGGGCTTCCTACCTCTCAAAAAACAGGAGGGAAAACAGAAACTAACAAACTCAACATTTTACTTACTGAATAAACTGAAATGTTATGTTATGGTACATTCATCAGCTCATTTAAGCCTCATCATAGTATATAAAAAAGTCACCTTTATGCTGGGCGTGGTGGTGCACACCTTTAATCCCAGCACTTCGGAGGCAGAGGCAGGCGGATCTCCGTGAGTTCAAGGCCAGCCTGGTCTACATAGTGAGTTCCAGGGCAGCTGGGGCTACAGGGAGACCCTGTCTCAAAAAGACAAAAAAAAAAAAAAAACAAGTCAGCTTTACATAAATCTATCCCAGGTGATAGAGTCCTTCCCTTTTTCCTCTGTTCAAGGAAGCAATTTAGAAGGTTCCAGAATTTCTTAAGTCAACACTCAGCCTGAATTTATAATCCCATTCAGATTCCCTTGGGAAGTTCTTTACAGTAATGTTCTATTTTAGGACAGGAGAGAAAAGACAAAAGCTGAAGCTCTCAATCTTACCTCAGATATACACTGAAACTTAAAATTTCCAGATAATCCAAGTAGGTGAAGGTCACATCCCTGAGGTAATCAGAGAAAAAGGCTTATTTACCTATTACAAGTTCCAAGATTTTACTCTGTACTACTGTCTCCCACTGCTAGTGATTTTTTTTTTTTTGTCTTGTTTGCTAGAAAGCACAATGATCCTCCAGCCTCCACTTCCCAAGTGCTGGGATTCGAAGTGTGAGGTCATCACCATCACACCAGGTCTCTCTGCAGTGCTGGGGACTGACCCAGGGTTTTGCTCCTACTAGGCGAGCACACTACCAAAGAAGCTACATTTCCCACCCTGTCATTCTAATGTTTAACACGCATCTCACCTGTGTCCATCCAGTATACCCTACCCTCGGTAAACAGAACAAAAACCTCACCTGAACCGAGTACTGCCCAAATTAAAACTGGTTCTGAGAGGCCCTGTTAGGGGCCCTGGAATCCAAAAAAGAGCACAGTTAACACAAAATACATAACTAAGACCAGGCGTAGCGGCCCTTTAATCACAGCACTGGGGAGGCAGAGGCAGGTGGATCACGCCAAGTACCAGGCCAAACTGGTCTACATTGTGAGGCCTTGTCTAAACAAGAAAAACAAACAAAAATACATAAACAAGATACTGTTGTATGGGAAAAACAAGACGTGGCTGTATAAGAGGCAATAAATGAATTTTAAAACTCTTTAAAAGCCTCAAAGGCCCAAGGCCTGTGGACCTTCAAGGGTAGCGGGGTCTCTACGTATTCCCAGCCCACGGTTCTGCCTAAGCCTCCCTAGACTGGGACCACAGGCCGGCGCTCCCTGCAAAGCGGCTGCCCAGCGCCGCGACGCGGGCCAGAGAAGGCGAAGACAGGCCCAGCCCCAGGGAGGAACAGCGGGAGGGGGAGGAGGCGCCGGCGTCCGCGGTTGACCCCGGCCGTGGCTGTGAGGCCTGTGTCCCGCGAGCTCGCGGCCCACGCACCGTGCGTAAGGCCGCGGCGCCGGGAGGCCTCGGGCGCCAGGGTCCCATCCACGGGCTGGGGCGGCTCCCTCCGTCCCCGCACCGGGGCCGCGCCACGCCACGTCCTTACCGTCCCCGCAGCGCAGCTCCCAAAGCCGAGGCCGGCAGGAGAGCACGGCCCCCACCAGGCCCTACACCGCCCCGCAAACCCGAGGCCTCCGCACACGCGCCCAGGGCGACCTGTGATTGGCTGCCAAGTGAGCTCAGGTCAGTCAGTCCCTCTGCTCCGGGCGCTGCGATCTGATTGGTCCAGGGCCCGGGGCGTTCCCGGGCTCTGGCGCCTCTAGTGGCTAACGCCAGTTGAGGGGGTCCACCTGAGATGCACAAGGGCAGGGGCAACAGCCCTGAGCTGGCGCAAGGCTTCTGGGCCTGCAGGATTCGAAAGCCAGAGCCAGGTGTAAAACCAAACCTGGATGCTAAAGCCAAAGGCCAGGTAACCCCAGCACTCAGGGGGCTGAGACAGGAGGATTGCAAATTAGGGGCCAGACAGGGCTGCATAGTGAGACCCTGTCCGAAAACAGAAAAGGAAGAAAGAAAACTACAGCCAGCCAGGGCTCGGGGCCAGTCCCAGTATTGGGAAGTACTTTGCCTACCAGTTATCAAAACCCTCAGGTGTGGTCCTTTGCCTAAACACGGTAGCTGACCCACCCGCCTAAGGAATTCGACCAAGTTGGAAACCCATCTTTTGGAAGCTACCTCTGGGACTAATCCAGTGCAGCCTGCTACCGTTTTTATCCAACTAGAAGCAAACTAAGAACAGATTTTTTTTTGTTTTGTTTTGTTTTTAATTCGGAAAAAAATCAAACGTTGAAATACCTTTTAGTGTCAGGCAAAGATTATATGAAATTCAAATTTCAGTATTCATAGTAAAGATTTTTTATTTTTAAAATATTTATTTTTACTTTGTGTGTGAGTGTTATGCCTGCATGTATATGCATGCATATCCATGTCATGCAATGCATGTGGAAGTCAGAAGAGGGCGTCGGATCCCCTGGAACTGGAATTATAGACTGTTGTTAACCACCATAGGGGGGTTGGGAATCAAGGCTAGGTCCACTGTAAGAGCAAAAGTTCTCAGCATGACAACCTGAGTCTCATCCCTGAGTCTCTCCACAGCAAAATGAAAAAAACAGGTCCCACCACAAACACATCATATGCATACAATAATAGGTAAAATAAGGTTTTGTTTATTTGTTTATTTTAGACAGGATCTCTCTGTAGCCCCAGCTAGCCTGGAACTTGCTCTGTAGGCCAAGTGGCCTTGATCTCACAGAGATCCACCTACCTCTGCCTCCCAAGTGCTGGGATTAAAGGCATGGGCCACCATACCCAGCTAAGTAACTTAAAAAATAAAAGTTGGGGCCTAGAGAGATGACTCAACAGTTGAGGGAAGGCTGATGGCTTGCAGAGTACCTGGATTCAGCTCCCAACATCCACGTAAGTGGCTAACAACCATCCATAACTCAAGTTCCAGGGGCTCCAACACCCTCTTCTGACCTCCACAGTCATTGCATGACACAGTACACTTACATACATGCAGACAATACACTCTTACACATAAAACCAAAATCATAAATAAAAAATACTAAAAAAGAAAAGTTTGCCCGCTCTCAGTTTATTTGCAGCTTTTGATGTATGAGTGTGAATGTTTGTGTGTGTGTGTGTGTGTGTATGTGTGTGTGTACATACGCATGCATGTGAAGACCAGAGGTCAATATCAGGTGTCTTCCTGAGGTATTCTCTACCTTATGTTTTTAACACAAGGCCTGTCACTGAGCCTGGAGCTCACCAACTGGGTAGACTAATTGGTCATCGAGCTCTCGAGGATCCTTTTGTCTGATAATACCTAATGCAAAGTAAATGCTATGTGAATAGTTGTCATGATTTGTTGTTTAGAGAATAATGGCAATGATGATAACATCTGTATGTGTTCAATACTTGTAGGCATAATTTTTTCCTAATATTTTCAGTCCATGGTTGTTTGAATCTCTGGGTACAGCATCCACAGATACAGAGGACCAACTGCTTGTGCAATTATAAATATCAATATGAATTAGATATAAGTACTCTAGAGAGATGATTTAAAGTATATGAGAAGATGTGTGGGGGTTACATATAATGTAAGCAGTGTTATTTTACATAAGTATCTATGGTTCTGATATTTGTCAAAGGACATCAAGAACCAGTCCCCTATGGTTCCAGGAAACATAATTGCATATGATTTATGTAGGTTATTTCTGTAAAACCTCCAATGTAACAGGTTTTAGACTGTGGCTCACATCCTGCTGTACATTAGAATTCCTGAGGGCTTTTAGAAACACAAGTGTCCAGTTCACTCCATCTTTCCAGATTCTAAGTAGCCATGTGTACTCCACCTGGGAAAAGGCTAGTGCCTAAGGTAAGGAGTTCCTCTTTTTTGCTTCCTTTGACAGGGGAAAGTCTTTTATTTTACACATCTCTGGTTCCTTTCACAGTGTATAGTCCAGGGTGTAACACTTCCAGGGGTACCAAACAGTGGGACAGTTTGGAAGGGTAGTGAGAACAGGGCTGTGTCTCCAATGGCTGAATAATAATCCTTTTGAGTTTTAGCATTTAAGGAATTCAAAAGAATGAGTGACGTTACCATAGCAAAACTTTCTGTTTTCATTGACTCTTAAGTTTTTCAGCATTTTCATCCAGAACAAACAGAACAGAAAAAAGAATTGAAGTTGAATCTTGACTCAGTTGTTATTCTCAACCAAGAACAATTTTACCCCTAAGGGACATTTGGAAATATCTGGTGTCAATTTTGATTATCTTGTCATTCGTCACAACTAGAATCTAGTGAGTGGAAGGCAGAGATGCTATAAAACATAAATGCACAGGACAGTCCCTTGCCACAAGGAATCATTCAGCCTAAAATGTCAATACTGCCTGCATTGTGAAGCCTTGATCTCGAATAAGTAAAAATTGTCCCACATCTAATCTGCGCAAGGCCCTTGGCAGTCTCCTTCAAAGAAAAAAGTTAACATATCTGATAAAATGTTTAGACACTTATATGAGGACTTTAGTAGGCTTAAGGTATGCATATTTGAGGAAAGGTCTCTGTGTTGCAGAAGCTGGTATCTAAATCCCAATCTTGCCTCAGCTGCCCCCTACCTTCCCAGCCCCCTGAATAATAAGATTACGGACATACACCACCATTTCCAGTTAGGATTTATTTTTGAAAATTAGTCATCTCTTACCCCAAGTAACTATTAATAGAGCTATTGACTTTTCCTTTTTTACAATTTAGTGTAGTAATGACAATGAGTAAATATTCAAGTTTCCTATGAAATATTTCAACCAAGAGTGAATCTTCAATAGGTTTTGTCTGGTAACTTTCTGGTTTTTCTTTGTAGTGCTGGGGATTGAACCCAGAACCTTGCAAATGTTTGGTAAATGCTTTATGTCTAGACTACCTCCCTAGCCCCTTGCCTTTACAACAATATTGTAATAAAACTTAGAGAAGTGCTCTATATTAGTTACTTTTCTGTTGTTGTGATAAAGCACTCTAACCAAAACAACTTATAGAAGAAAGATTTTATTTGGCTTATGGTTCCAGAGAGATGAGTCCATCATGGTGGTGAAGGTGTGGCAGGAGGCAGCAGGAGCAGGAAACTGATAAACTCATATCTTCAAGAGTAGGCACAGGAAGCAGAGAGGGACAGACTGGAAATGGAGCATGGCTATCTACTCTCAAAGCCTGCCCCCCAGTCACATGTTTCCTCCAGTATGGCCACACCTCCTAAAAGTTCCATGGACCTCCCCAAATAACACCACCATCAAATACTTGGAGCCTATGGAGACCATTATTATTTAAACCATCACATTCCACCTCCTCATCCCCATGGGCTCAAGACCATGTCAAAATGCAAAATGCATTTAGTTCAATTTCAATAGTTGAACTAATATTTAACAGTTTCAATACCAGTTAAAAGTCCAGATGCCAAAGCCTCTTCTAAGACTCAACACATTCTCTTAACTTTTAGGCCCTGCAAAATCAAAAAGACAAATTACATGCTTCCAACATACAATTGTTAGATTCGTGAAAAGACCAGGACCACTAGAGACCACTCTGAGGCAAGAAAAGAAGAAACTGATTGGGATGAACGAGCAGCTGAACTGCTCCCATGGGAGAGAGGGAGCAACAATTTCTTGTCACAGTAGGCTGGGTTTTACAGGCTTTTTGTTTTGTGGGTAGGGGGAAGTGAAACTAGCAGGATGGGGTGGGGGGTGAGTCAGTAGCAGGTGCCTTGGTAGGGGACAGTTTCAGTTAGGTGTTTTTCAGTTTTTCAGTTGGCTGCAATGGAAAATTGCTGTTAATATCAGGGTGCATTGTCAAAGCAAAGGTCACGTAGTTATTGAGAAACTAGGATGGTCTAGTTTCTGTTTCCCTGAATGCTGCCCACTGGGTTGTGATCACCATGTTGCTGATCAGTAGTGACCCCATCTTGGGGCCCGGTTTGACCTAACAATGACACAGAATACACATTCCCATTCCCAAAGTGAGGAATATTTAGAAATACTGGACCAAAGCAGAATTGAAAACCAGCAGGGCAAACACCAATCCTGTAGCTCCATGTTTGATGTCTGAAACTTTAGTTCCAAAGGGCTTAGGTGGTTCCTCCCCTCCAGCTTTGCTGCCTACAGCATACATTTATCTCTTGGGCTGGTACTACTCCTTGTATACTGCCCTCCTTGGCAGATGTCTCATGATTCTGGCCTCTAACATCTTGGGGTCTCCATTCCCAACCAGGCTTGACTTTCACAGCTTCACACAGTGGCCTCTCAGGACCCTTTGGTGTCCCAGGGCCTTCTTCTTGCAGGGACTTCCCTACCAAGCACTGCCTGGGTGCAGCGACTCTCTGAAACCATGGAGGAAGAATTAACAACCCCATCACTCTTCCATCTTTCATGCCTCTAAAGTCAGCACCACATGAATGGCACTGCCCAGTTTGGCTGTCAGCTTCTGATGGACCTTGGTCTCCTGGGATCACATTTGTAGCTGCTTTTGTGTGCTGTGGTTTTCCAGTAGCAGAAAATTGTGTAGGTCTTTTCCTTTCCCAATTTAGAAACTTAGCTGGATGGGGTCTTGTCCTGAGGGTACTTGTTCCATTTCAAGTGCAAATCTAGAGACCTGTCCTTGATGGCTATAATCTCTTTATCAAAGAGAGTCTTTCAG